ATAGAACCTACTAGTGTTCTGTATTCAGAGAAGGGGTTGGCTTCTGATGTTCGGCCTAGAGAACAGTGAAGAAAGATAAGAGATAAGTATTTGTGTGATCTTAATAGTACTAGTTTAATTTCAGTTAGAGTCTGATATAAGTATAGCAGGTAGTTGTGTGTTAAGTTTAATTTGTATGAAAGACATATAGCAAAATGGTTGGTAGGTGATACAGGATTTGTAACCAATGGTACATAATTTTCAAGTAGATAAGAAATGTTAGAATTCTAGTGAATCCATATCGATTTTTCTGGATACATGAGTTTGGAGCAAATAGAACAGAGAACATATAGAAATTGATATAAAATAGTATTTTCAAATTTATCTATCAATTCCCATATTTTTTCTGAAATAATCTACGAAGACATTTCTGGATGAGATAGATCATCGAATTGAATATCATTTTGGTTTGAATGTTGTGAGTTGTTATTATTAGAGGAAATAAAATTAATTATTTCTTCATTATATTCTAGAGGTTCGATTTCAAGAATATCGTACACGTGGAATAACATATTCAAGTTAGAAGTGTTTGATAATATTTGTTGATAATATTATAACAGTAGTTGAATGTATTTTTTTTGTCAAGCAATGTAATCTGTATTTATTTTTGAGGAATCTGGTGAGTATTTATAATTCAAGAGAGTAATTTAATATTATTAAAAATAAATATTATTTTAATTTGTTGTAATGTTTTATTGTTAGATAGTAGCAATATCAAATAATAACTTAAATAGGTAACAATATTGATCGTGTTTATAATCGTATCAGAGAAGTAAATATTTTATTAAGATATGTATTATTTTGTTTTTTGTTTTTGTTGTATATAGTAAAGATAGATAATATATAAGTGTTTTAGTATTTTTTTGGTATGATCATAAGTTAGTATATAGATTTGTATCATTTTTAAATATTTGATTTCACAGATTTACAGATCTGTAAAATTATATCATAAGAGTGAGGTTTGGTTGGTTTTGATGATTAATTTTTTTTTAAAAATTGAAAAAAATAAAGTACAATTTAATAATTAGGCACAGGTATTGAATTTTTTAATAAGTTTAATTTTGGTTAGAAATTATCTATATGATTGTTGATATTATTATATTGATAGTTGATTCATTTTGGTTATAAATTTTTAGAGAAAACGGATGCATTTAATTGTAATTTAATTTAGATATATTTAATAATCAGTAATAAATATAATTGTATTTTTTTTTATATATATTTAGTTTGTTTAGAGATATGAAATTCGCAGGTGTGGTATTGTTGTGATAATTTATATGATAATTTTATTAAATAAAAATAAAAGAATAAAATTAAGATGAAATAAAATTAAAAAATATTATTATATAAGTACAGAATTAACATGATCAGTATGAATAAGTATTGTTGATATTTATTTTACATTTTTTATAGTAGGTTTTGATAAAGTGTAGATTGAATCAGTTTAAGGTAGGGATGGTAAATGATCTGGTCATTTGATCAAGATCCAAATAGCTTTAAGTTATCAAATAATGACCAGGTCATTTGGGTTATTTACATATAGAATAATTTTATTGATTGAATTACTTGTAAAAAAGTTACTGAACTTTATTATTTTTCTAATTGATAATCATAGTTACATATTAAAATTGAAATTTAATTAAGTTAATTAATATTTATACTTTAAGTAAAGCTGTTTGTGATAATAATTAAATACTTTTTTATTAATTCACTTTTGCATATTATTATATTTATATGAAAAATTAAAATTTTTTTATTTGTAGTAACTTAGTAAAGTGGTGAAGTTGTCGTATTCCCAAGCAGTTGAGTATTGGTTTAATTCCCACAGAAAACGAAAATTGAATTTTAAGAAAAACGGATTCGGTAACTATCATTGTGACCAGGAAAACTTGAGACCCTGTAACTGTAATTGTACCAATTCATCGGAACTAGAAGATTTCAGAGCATTTGTATGACATATGAATTATACGAATAAGATCTTTGAATCGCAGAAAGCCACAGGGCCAATATGGTGATAAAGCACTCACTTGGCAAGTCCTGAATAGAGAGATAATACAGATTTTTAACGGTACTACGTAAAGGATCATTGTCGAAAGAACTAGTAAAACTGAACAGAACTGAAGTATTTGGCAAGATACTCCACCAACCAGACCGCCGGAGGAGTAACTGGAGGAAAAGGATCCAACCATAAGGACCAGGAGCAGATCACAGCCCTTTCGGGCCATCTGGATTGGTAGTTTGAGATAGTTAGAGATACTGTAGATGGTCTGTAATGTGTGTACCAAGATTTGAGTAAACTCTATAAAGGCAGAAGTATGTTGTGTAACAACAATTAGGCTATAGTACCTGATATGGAAACTGGGTTGCAAGTGGCGGACCTTGGCTTATACATATTAACCAAAGACTAGATCAGCCATATTGTGAATACAGAAGGCTCTAGCAGGTTTATCTCTGAAGATAAAGAGCTCTTGGGGGCAAAGAGCCTACCTTAAAGTCCTAATTTGGTATCCGAAACTAAAGGTTTCTGAATAGATTCTCACTCAGTTATTAGTGTAATCACATAGGCACAGAGGGTTTAAATAGATAACCCTCTAATTGGGTTATAAATATGATATCTAGGGTAGAACTTAGTAATAAGCAAACTACTTAAAATAAGTAACCAAAAGTTGTATGTGTGGCTAGTTGTACTCTCCAAATATATATACGGTATGTGAAAATTATACTGTAAAAATTATAACTATAATCGAATAAAGAAACACGACCAAGAGGTCACCTTAATATCAAAAAAAAAAAAATTTTTTTTATTTAAATATATTATTCAATTTATAAAGATTTCTGAACATATACAATTTAGTATTCAGAACAACTTTATTTAAGGTATAAATATTAATTGATTTAGTAAAATTTTAATTTGGATATATAGCTATGATTATTTGATTATATTTTTAATAAAATTTTATTTTGAATTCTGATTGGTTAAAAGGTATTAGAATCTTAATCAACATATGTTAAATGACCTTTTAAGGTTATTTAAATTTTAAAATTAGAGTTGCAGACATCAGAATATTAATTAACATATGCTATGATGTATATGACGTGATGTATTGATATGATGTATTATATTATATATAAATCTTATATAAAATAAAGGATAACATAAAAAGGTAGCTACTTTTGATCTTCTAAATATCTGCAACTATATTTAAAATAACAAATGACCAGTTATTTGTCATTTGGATCATTTCAGATTATTTACCATCTCTAGTTTAGGGGGCATCTATAAATAATGTTATACAAGAGGGTTTCACAAAAATTACGTTTTTTGCTAAGTTAAAGGAGAGGTTGACGAAAAATAAACCAATTTTTTTATAAGAATATTAATATCTCGTGACTTAGTGGTCCAAATTGGATAAATTTGGTACCATTGGATTCGACTCTGTGAGAGGAATCCAATAGTACCAAAATTATTCAATTTGGATTACTGGATCAAAAGATATTAGCAAAAAACTATTAGCT